AGTCTGAATTTACAGGACTTCATACGAGCATTTAAACGGTGAGTCACAGGAAGGAAGGAATAGGTAGCAGGTTTTCTAACCGTTAGATCATCCGCTTTAGAGAACACTAATAGAGGGACGTAAAACGGAAATGACGAGGTTACATGTTTATCAGGGTGTTATGAGGTTAATCGTTTGCTTTTGAAATTTACGTTTAATTAGAAAAAAATATCTGGAGCAGCAGAGGTGGCTTTACATAGATGGAGTACGTTTTAATTCATATCAGCTCGAAAATTGATTTTTCCTCCATATTTTTTTTCTGTTTTATCTTTTACCTGCATAAGATTAGCAAACAAATCTTAAGATCAGAGATTGAAAAAGTCCCCATCAGTTGTCAAGTAGTGATTTAATTTATTAAGAGAAAAAAAGTCCACTCAAACCAAGCCGGCCTTGTGTGAAAAAATAATTGCCCACCTTGTTAAATCATGAATTACCCACATTTTCAGACAGCTGAGTGCTGCGTCGTAAGGCACACCTAGGCTTTAAATAGAACCTGTCAAAAAATGAAGCAGGCTAAAAGTTTTTAAAAAACAAAACTTTATGCCTGGGTTTAAAGAAACCAAAACAAAGTCACTGACATCATTCTCGTCAAAAAACAGTTTCTAAGAATTTGAGACTCCTGCGAACTAAAGTTGAGAGCCTCTTTTTAAAATGAAGAAAACATTGAACAGCGGTTAACCTTCCTAAGAGCGAGAGGTTAACCAAAATTACTCCAAGAACACATCAGTGAGTCATCAGAAACTACCCAGAACAACATCAAACGCTCTGCAGACCTCACTCGCCTCAGGTCAGCGGATGAATCAACAAGAAAGAAACCGTCTCCTGCAGACTTCAGGTCGTCCTTTCAAAAGCCAGCAGTAATTTGCAAACCTTTTCCAGGACACAATCCTTTTTGCACCTACAAAGGAAGTACGCTGCCTCACCTCTACGCGCAACACAACACAGGAGTCCATGTCACCACATGTAAAGTTAATAGCAGGAAAAAACTAATCTTTCAATATTTACTTTTGACAAAAATTGCCTGGTGGCTCAATAACGTATATAGCTTTGCAACAGGAACAAGATTGAAGATGTCATAGTTAGTCGTATGCTTACATTATGATTTATGGTTATACGTAACTCCATATCTAATAGATCATCATGAAACTTAAATTTGTTGTTTTATTTAGTGTCATATTTAAACTTTTACCTCTTTAGAAAGTCTCTGCGTTTACCTTTGTCTTGCAGCCTCATAACTCTGATAAATGTATCAACATTAACAAAGAATTATGAAGAATTTCATATTATAAAACATTCTCAAAGAAGTTAGACTTATTTAATTAGTAATTACTTTTTTGGTAAGGATAATGTTTGTATGCGTGTCTGTGACATCAGTATTATAGTAAATATAGTAAGAAGGATTTTTTTATGTCTGGTTTTCTGGCGAAGTTTTTGACAAATGTCTGTTAAATTTTGAGAAAATTAAATGCAAATAAAATCTGGAGAAGCTGATAAGAGAAAAGAAAAATGCTGACATTGCAGTGGTTAAGGTTAACAAGAGCAAACTTTGGTCTTTTAATCATCCAGACATTAATTTCCATCAGATCCTCCATCATTTGTTGACAATCTATGTAAATATATGTAAATATTTATGCCTCATACAGATTTGACCTGAAACTGATCTCAGCTATTTGCAGTTTTAATGCAAAAAAGTTTAGGTGACTATGCAGCTCAAACTCTTCCTCATGTTTCACACAAAAACTACAAGAGCAACCTAAAACAGCTGTGAGCTGCAGCTTTTAGCAGATGTTACTAAAGTGAAGGTAATGATATATTAATGAGGACAACTTTCAGGAGCAGAACAAATCCGCTGGTAAAAATAAAAGCATTTAAAGTGACTCTGAATGCAGTCATGTATTAAAAATAGATCCTTTTCAGTTTTAAAATCACTCTAGTCTTGAGTGTTTCTTAAACAGAAACAAACACAAACTGATATTTCTTTAAATATATATATTTTTAGTTATCTGGTGTAAATAAGGTTGAAATGAGTTCTGGACAACTCATTAGCAGTGACCTTCAATGTGTAGTGATTTAATTGAAAGGGGGAAAAAAGACAAAAACCCACCAGTGCATTCCCTTTAAGGACCCTGCCTATATATAGATCAACCACAACATTAAAGTCAAATGGATGAAGTAAATAACATCGATCTCCTCATTATAGTGCAACGTTCTGCTGGGAAATGCTCCGTCCCTGCAGTGTTGGTGGAGATGGGACATTGACACAAACACTCCTGCAGACAAAGCATCGTCCCGGCTGGATGACGCCCCTCTAACACACTCCGAAGGCTCAAAGAGCCGAAGAAAGCGTTTCCACAGCAGGCTGCAGGCTTTCAGGATGAAAACGGCAGATTCATGAAAGCTCGATTTTTAACACAGAAAACCCGAAACACCTGCAGCCAGCTGAGTCCTGTGGACAATCAGCTGGATCAGGACTGTTCTGGCATCTGGAGGCAACAATAGGAAGATTATCATGACGATGGTTTTACTCATTTTAAATTAGTCATAATCGCACACTGACAAATTTAGAAAAATCCAACCTTTAAAATTTTCTCCAACCCTCTTTTAACCATTAATAATAACACATGGGAGAGCTGATTGGCTTATAGAGCAACCTTAGCACCATCATAAAGCCTAGAGGCAAATAAAAAGAAGGGTATTGATTTATTATTATTTTAAGAAAGGCTTGAGTTACATTTACTGTGGACCCCAACCTAACTGTGGTTTAATATTCACCCATTTGTGATTTTTTTCTATGGAATCTGAATCCAATTTATTTGTGGAAAATGTTCCTATTGACACATTTTTGTAGAGCATAAATTAAACATATGTGAAAGAAGATACAGATTGGGCAGCTGTGATATCTTTGTGTAATGCTACTTGACACGCTATTGGCTGGCTAATTAGCCAATCCAGGAATGCCGTTTATTTTTCCTTGGCGCCTCCAAGAGCGGAGATGAGGAAGACTTTGGACGTTAGCTTCTCTGGTAGGGTTAAGAGGATTTTCACTGTGTAATAATTAGGGTTTATTTGGTGTTTGAACTATTAAAATAGGCAGTTTCAAGCATTTAGGACGTGGGTCTCTGGAGGTATTTGCAGATTTCATCCCGGTAGCGGTCCCTAATCCCAACAGGATCTGGGGGTCCATCATATCGTATGCCATTAAAACATTCCTTTCTTAGCCCAGATTTTTCCCCCTCACTCAGTACTCAAATTAAAGGTTGGGTTTTTTATTTTATTTTTAATCAACAGTGGGATTTCCCATTGCAATAAAATGTTAATTTCATTTGATTGCTTTTGACTAATCTTTACCAGGGTTGTGATTAAATTTAGCAGAGATTTCAAACTGCCTTTATTGACGTTTGAGGCCGCTAACATAAATTAATATTTAGAGACGTGTTCAAAATCATTAGCAAGTTTCCTGAACGAGTCCCTCGCCACAGAGGGGACTAATTAGGCGATCAAAAGCTTGAAACACTATTGACGCGGCTGAGTTGAGTCCATCGCTCTGGCAGGAGTTGCTAATGTGGACGGCCAAGTTAGCGTGTTGAACAGTAAGCAGTGCTGCAGTCTGCTGGCACGTTAACAAGGCCCTTAAAAGATGCCCAGAATTAATAGATCAGGACAGTCGTAATGATGGGAGAAGTTGAGGGACACATTTCTCATTTTAATTTAAGGGTGTCAGTTTTACTCCATCTTTTTATTTCTCTGCGCCGTTTCCCTGCGTCGCCTTGTCCGTCTCATCTACGCCGTTTAAACAAAGGCAAGTAAAAGTAAAGGTTCGGCGAATGTTACTCGGGATAACGAGGGAGATTAATTTCACACTTCAAAGGTTCTTGGTTGCTCTCTCTTCTCTTTTTGGAGCCGTCTGATTATCTAGCATCTGCAGAAGGGTTTTGATGTTGGACACATGGTTCATTTAGAGCAGTTAGGGACAGACTTACAAGACGCACACGTATTACACACACACACACTGTAACGAAAGGGAGACACACACTTTTCTGTGCCTGTGTTTGCAGCACAGTGGTTTTATAAAAAGTGTGCACACTCCTAGTTAAATTCTAAGATTTTAAAAATTTAGAAAACGATGAATAAATTCCAAATATTCCCTCCCAACTTTAATGTGACATACAATATATCCTGTTCAAATTACCTGAGAACCAAACAGATTAGCTAGGGTGAGAAAAAAAAGGTGCAACAGTCATGTTGCATTAGTGTTTGCACAAAGGTAATCTAATGGGGTTTTATTTTTAGATACATTTTGACTGAATTTCAGCACCCAGTTTTCTTTGATGGGAATCTATTAACATCTCACATCTTCACCTAAAGATGCTGAAAGATTCTCCAGATCTGCAGTAACCTTAAAAACGGACTCAGATTTAGTTCCGTATTCTCATCTGGTCAACACAGAACTTTACACATCATCTTTAGCTTGTAGGTTTTGAGTCAGGGCATACCAATATTTGAAAATGTCTATAACTTAATTGACATGGACAAAAACCTGATCTCCATTTGAGGAAACGTGGCAACAGAAAACAAATGGGGGAGCAAAATGTTTGCAACAAACTCGAGTTCTCATCTTAAATATTAGTATTAGATTAGAAGTGTGCCATTGATGCAGCCAGGTTATTGTGACCTATTTCATTTTTATAATTTTAACAGATTTGTTTATATTTCAGTAAAACTTCATGGGATAAATGTCACATTATGGATGGAGAAAGTTTGGAAACGACTCGTCGCGGTCTAAATTTTAACAGGAGTGTGTAAACCTTGTAGCTTTTAGCCGCTGCATGTCGCCTTGAATGGTTTCATCAGACTTTCACAGTATCATCAAAAGAGCAGCTTCAGGGCTCAGGGAGGGACACAAAAAATGCTGGAAAAATTAGCCGTTGTCAATTCACTTAGAATGTTACAGTCCACCAAAATGTTACACATAGTCTGTATTTATTCCCACTTAGAACAATGGTAACAAAACAAAGACAACAAAAGAAAAAAACAGTAAATAATTCTCTGGAAGTCTTTTTTTTTGTTGTTGCTGTTTTTAAGCCTCCTGTTCGGCTTCAGTTTTACTAAAAGGGCGAGTTAGCCTCCGGCAGAGTCTCTGGAAAAGAAACCCAGAACTTCGTAGTCTGAAGGAGATGCGAGAGGAGAGAAAATCATCCATCAGGAAAATGCAGCTCCTCTCAGATTTGTCCAAAATTTCCATCTGAGCCAAAAACAGCAGCCTAATATTTGACCATCACAAAGTCGGTTCTGTATCTGTACGCCTCGGGGTGAACCGGAGAAACTTACAGTTTGTGTTCCTCCACCTCCTCACCCATTCCTGCGAGTCTCTCACCCACCCAGCGCTCCTACACTCCCTCTTGGTCTCCCAGCAGGTCCGTGTTGTTGCTGCTCTGTGGGGGGGCGGGAACGCGGCGAGGTGACGGAGGCGGAGGGCTGTGGCGCTGCTGCTGCTGCCGCCTCGGACTGGTCCCCCCTCCGCCCTCACTGTCTGTGTTGGATGAGGACGGCGGTGGGGGCGGAGGTAGCCTCGGCAGCGGGGCGGAGGAGGGCGGTATCCTTGTGGACGCCGACCCCAAACAGCTACCGGATCTCAGGCTCTGGATCCTTCTGCACTCCTGGCAGATCCTCACGTGGCTGCAGCTGCGGGCGGGCAGCATCACAGGCGTGGGGGCCGGCGGAGGCGGGGTGGTGTTCGCTCCGAGCGGATCATCTAGGATCCTTTGGGGCCCGGGGCCCAGATCGGGCAGTCCTGTCCCTCCCGCCCCACCGGTCAGGGGGCCGGCGCCGCTGTACAGCTTCCCGTTGCTGAGCCGCATCTCCCGGACCAGGCGCAGCGGCCGGGGCGCTCCGAGCGCGATGCGGGTCGGGTGTCGCAGGGCCGCCGAGCTGCTCAGGGGTCGTCTGCGGCGCATGCGGGAGCTCTTCTTACAGGAGACGGCGTTTCTGAACTCGGTGATCATCTCTTGACAGACAGACACCTGGTGGAGAAGAAGGAAGGGAGGAGGAAAGGAGGAAAGAAGGGAAGGAGAAGGGAGCAAAGGAAGGGGAGGTGCCACAGACACAAAGTAGGCAGGCAGCACAACAGGACAGTGGTAAGGCAATACAGAAATAAAGCAGAAGAAAAACAATAATATTTAAAGGAAAAAAAACAAAAAAACAAAGGAGCTCAAAAAGAAGGAGGCAGCACCAAAGCAGAAAAACACACAGTGGGTGTAGCAAACAGAGGAGTTGCAGGTGAGGCGAAATCACACATCGACAAACGGAGAGATGTTTTAAAACAGGAACAAAGAGGCGATGGAGAGGACGTGGAGATGGATAGAGATGGGAGGATAGCAAAGAGAGTTATTACAATCTAAACACGCAGAACACCAAAATGTTCTGTAGAATATGAACACTTCATTATGAAACGATGAACAAACAGGCAGCCGGCAAACTCAGGTGGACATAAACAAATCTCACAAGGACAGACACCTTTCCCATCCACAAATCTCTTTCATCCTTCCAACGTCACGACTGCTGTTATTTGAACACACGACAAACAAAATGTATTTACATGCAGCTGCATCTCTGTAACTTAGTAGGTCATTAACAAGTCAATTTATCCCAGTAATCCAATTCAAAAAGCGAAACATAGATTAAATTGACGCTTAACTTTCTTCTAACGGGGGGGTGTGGAGGTGTTTACGATCAAACACCAGAGATGTTTTTGAAGATTTTATTTTTCTTAATTCTGATCTTAATTAACTAATGTAAACCCCAAAGATCAACAAAGAGGATTTGTTTTAATATGATGTTATAAATGGCCATATTACAGACAAAATCATGGAAAAAAACAGCCAATTTAACAAATGTTGGGCTGAGAGTCACAAGGGTTTAAGTCCCACAGCATCATTACCACAGAGGACAGAATCTGAGCCTATTAATGGAAAGCTAAGTGGAAGGAAAAAGCTTTACAGAAAAAAAAGTGTGCAGGGATAACTCCAGCCTTGAGAGGATTGTGAAGCTAAGCCCAGTGAAGAGGGTGTTGAGATTCACAAGGTGCAGATGGCAGCTGGAGCCGGAGCTTAAAAACCATCACACACATCCAGACCTGGGGCTTTAACTGTGTTATGCAGCTTGTCAACCACAAAGTCAGAAGCTTCTTACTTTGACTAAGGAGAAAAATTCAAACTGCTCACTGGTCCAAAGTCTTCTTTACAGAATAAATTGAATTTTGCACTTTGTACTTGCAGTCAGAGGTGATTTGGGGAGCCGTGGCACCTGCTCGTGTTGCTCCAGTTTGTTTTATATAGTCTGAAGTCAGGAAGCAGAGAAACTTATGGGCGCTCTGCTGATGAGCTTTATGAAACTAATGTGCCACCCACACTCGACTTAGAATAACTGCATGTTTATGTTAACTTTGTTTTATTTCAAATTTTCACATAAGCACGCACAACTTAGCAGAAACGAGATAATTATGAAGTCAGTGCTAAGACAAAATAAATACTGTATGTAGAAAGCTTTGATTTTAAAAGTGTTTGTACAAGTTTACTATGTTTCCAGGTCTATATTTAGAGTTGTAGAAGTACTGGAAACATCATGAGATCAGCAAGTTGGAAGAAGTTTGATGTTGGACTTTTCATCACAGTGAGAGGAGACTCTGGAAGTGGACATGCTCAGCAGAGGAAACACGTTTCATATAAACGAACTTGGCTGGTTTCTAACCAGCTTCATGAGCCAACGCCTGCCTCACTGCCACAGAGGGACGAGCCATCAGCTGCGGCCGAAATGCCTGATACTTTAGTTTGCAGAGTTACTGAGGATATATTTTTGCACTGTTGATTCTGTTCATGACAAACTGAGCTTTTATAAGAGCCACAACCCAAAACATGTGAAGCTGCAGCTGCAATTACAGTTTATGTAATTGAAAAACACTGAAAATGCCTGAATTAAGGATTAGCTGAGGAGATATTAGGGGTGTTCAAAGTGTGGCCCGGGGATCCATTTGTGGCCCTTGCAGTGATGTTGTGCGGTTCCCAACTTGCAATTCAAAATTGCAGGTGTAGGTGCATTTTTTTTTAATCATGGTAAAATTATAACAAACAATTTTCTTACAACAAAAAACAGAAAATACAAAGTATTTGTCTTTTTTATAAATAGAACCACATCTGTGTAGAGACTTTTTACTGAAAAGTTGCTGTACCTCAATGAAAGTGTATTTAATTTATAAAACAGCATTTCAACAAGGGTTGTGAAAGAAACTCAAATCTTCTTTTAACAGAATACATTTGTTCAATCAAACCCAAAAGAAAAACTGGATTAAATTTATTTTAATTTTAAGTTTTGGATCCAAAATAAATTATATTCATTTTCTACAAAAAACAACTATATTGCTTGATTTAATTTTAACATTTCCCATTTGTAAATTCTTTTGACACTTCAGCTTTTGACAAAAAGTTTGGCCTCCCATGTTTTATTCAGTACTTTACTAATAAAGAACATATTTTATTCCCTTAACCATGTCCACATGCTCTGATCAGGGGAGCAGCTCTGATCAGGGGGGCAGCTCTGATCGGGGGGCAGCTCTGATCAGGGGGGCAGCTCTGATCGAGGGGCAGCTCTGATCGGGGGGCAGCTCCACCGTGCAGCAGAAGGTGGCGGGAAGCTTTGCACTTAAAGATGTTACACCACAGGTGCTTTGTGTAGGACTACCTCATAATTACACCAAAATATGAAAGTAAATAAATAAAAATATGCCTGTAGAAAAAAGCAGATGGTGCACGCAAACACTATTTGAAAGTCCCAAAGAGTTTTCCATCACTGATCTCTAGGTTTTTGTTTATTCAGCTGGAAAATAATGAACACTTGATGTCTCAATAAATTTTAGTCTGTTTTCATTTGCACAGCAACTTTTTGGATTAGATTTGTTTTCTTCACACAGCGGAGGGAAACCGACTGGTGGATCTGGCGTCACAACCTACATCTCATTAAATACCATGGTTACAGTGGACCGGATTGGCCAGAAAACCAGAATAATCAAAACCCCATAGAGAATCTATGGAGTGATAATCAGAATAGTCATCAGACCCAACAATGCAGATTGAGCACATTTCAGTATCATAGCTTTTTTTATTGCTTTATGTGATTAAAATGCCTGAATTCACTCATCAGGATGTCATTCAGGGCTGCAGAGGCCTGGNAATCATTTTTCATTCATGTGGTTGGAGAAGAGATGCATCTAAAAGCTGCAGGATAGTAGCTCTTGCGGATTGGACATTTGGTAGAGAAACTTTCATATTATCATAAAATGAAAAGCAATTATCAAAGTTAACGTCGTAATTTCTTGACGTCTCTTTGTGTACGGAGAATTTCTGAGCTATAAGAGTTTCACTTTTTGAGTTGAAATAATGAAATAGGCTTTAAAATTATTCCACTTGTTTGGACCGTCATAAATTACTGCGATGCACCTGTACACACCACGGACAATTACTGTTTTCCAAAAAATATGAAAAGGTCATGTGCTCACATAAACAGAAACAGTACTCGTTCTTGGAGAACAGACACTGATGGCCGGATGAGAGGGGGTGCGCGTGTTTCAGAGAGATAGAAGAAGACGCACAGTGGGATGGGTGAGAAGTAATCCAATAATGGAAACGAAGAATACCAGCGTACATGTGAGGCATGTAAAAGAAGATACATCATGACATTTAATGCCAGGGGAAAAAAAGATCACTCTACTTGTTTAAGCAAGCAAATATTGGCATTTCTCAATATTGCTTATCCGATTTATTAGATTTAGCTCACAAACACTTGCTGCCACATTGTTAAACACCAAACACTCACAGGGCACATTGACACAAACACAGGCAAGACCATGCTGCATATTTTGTTCTGCTTGTATTCTTTTCAGTCCAGAGTTGCACACTTGTACATTCCTTTCATAATATCGGCTCATAACACTGAAATGTTAGAGAGCACACACGAAGACGAACAAATAAAAACAGAAGCGGAAATATAAAATCTGGCCACTTCTTGCACACGACACAACACCACAAGACACACACATGACACACACACACATACACACGCAAACAGGAAACATAATCAAAAGGGCTGGCAGGATGCCATGGGAACCTACTGGGGTGTGTCTGTGGGGTCGGCGAGGGCAGGTATGGGGGCATACCTCATCAGTCTCTGCCGAGCGGCGCGTCGACCACACAAACTCCATAATAGCCACAAACACGGCGATGATGAGGCCGCAGATCAGCACCACGAAGATGCCCCCAATGTTTTCCATGCCCAGACCTGCAGCGGGCCACAGGAAACGCATCGTCTTCAGGTTTAATTCCTTTTCTTTTAGAGCAATTGTGTTTGTTACTGAGGTTTTTTCCCACTCGAGTCTGCAGCGGTGAGCTTCGTTTATTCCAGAGAGCTACTTTTCTCCAACTCACTAATATCAGTCTGCATAAATAAACACTTATTTAGTTTTCAAATCTATAAACACTGGACTAAAAGAAAAGGTTTCACATCCTAACAGTTGTTTTTTTAATCATTTTGTTCCTTAAATTCAACATTTTAATGAAATCATTATCAATAAAATGGTTTTAAGACACAAAATGAAAACTCAATGAATTGATAGTCAGGGTCACCGTCAAGCTTTTTGCTTTCAGTATAAAAGACAACAGCAGCACTTGCTCTGTTGTGTTCAAGGACGTATCTGGACTAACCTTTGCTTTCAACACAGCAAAATTAGAGTGATAATTCACATTTTATTTAAAATTGAAAAACAGTAACATGTTTTTTATGAATTATGCTGAGGAGTCATAAAATGCTCAAATCTAATGTACAATTTAACTTCATTTGCTGCGTTTCTTGAAGAACATGCATTCAAAGCTTTTTTTAGATTTATTTGGTTCTGCTTCCGACCCAAAACACTCTTACAAAATACGACAGACTGATGTGACCCTTTGGTTAACAAAAACTCCTCAAATCTATTTTATTATTACTTATATTATTACTTATAGTTAAGAGATTCACTGTTTGATTTTCTCAAAGGGTCTGATTGGTGCATTTCCAAGCTTTTCACTCATAGCCATACCTTAAGAATATTTCGCAAACTGATTTATGAAAGAAAGTTTTTTGTTTTTAACAGATTATACAATTACTGTCATAAAATGAGAACAGTTTCATAATCTGCTGTTTCTGCTTTTATAACCTCTACACATAATAACAGACAATCTGCAGGAGGGGGAATGAGTCTGACAGAAAATGCTGTCATCTCGCGTTACACAACATGTGCAATCGTATTTTTGGAGCTTGACCCACACTTGGCATCGAAACTCTAGATTTCCGAGCCCCTGCAGCTTCACTCATCAGCACTGTTCCTACAAGATATGTCGGCAAGTCTTACTTGTCTCAACTTTATGTAAAAGCTTTTATGTGAGCAGATACTTGTATCCTATTTTTGCCAAACGGACGCGTTTAAGAGATAAACTCTTTTTACACTGGGGCTGGGACTTTAAACACAAACTCTTACACACTACCTGAGACAAACAGTTTAGTTTAGTTTGCTGTCCCTTTACAGCGACATCAGGACAGACATCAGCCATTAGCTGCAGTCTAGCAGAGAGTGAGGAAGCCATTAGTGGGGACATTAGAGAGGATGAGGCAGCAGAGAAGAAAGGCAGCTCACCCTTGGCACGGTGGTCCTCCTCTTTGGGACACTGGCCTCCGTCCCACCACCCCCTCTTCAGAATCTCCAGCCTGTTATTCTCATGCAGCTGGAGGATGGCCTGCGTGATCTCTTCTCTGAATGGAGATCCTGGCAGAAGACAAAGAGGCAAGATAAGAGCCAGCACTGGAAAGGTGCAGCACAAGGATCAGGGGCTATTTTGGTAAAGGAGAGAAAAAAAAAAACATGAAATGATAGCAGACTTAGGAGTAAAAGACAGAGCATAGCTGCATCCAGCTTTGAAGTGGATACAAGTGATCTTGTGGTAAGTAGACAGAGAAGATTAGAGAGATAAACAACAAGATTAAATCCAGAGGCAGAGACAGTGGTACAGCTGCAGCTCAAGCAGAAATCAAAGAGTGTTATGAGATGCATCCACAAGAGCAGAGTGGGGAGATTTAAAGGGTAAATGTACTAAAAATTGCGAGTATTAAGCCATAAATACATGAAAGTTGACTGTAAGGAGCAGATAAATCTCTTTATGAAAAAGCTGCCAGCTGTTTCAGCAGATTAACGGTGAGTATCGTTTGGATGAGCAAAGTCAAAACTGCTTAGAAAGGAAAACAAACAGAATTCAACGTCTGAATTCGACCTTCTTTAAAGCAAAAAACAAAACACAGAGTTGTGACGTTACTTTGGATTATTTGCTCAAGCATCGTCTTCTGACAGTCAATGCTCCACATAATCAATAAAACTAAGCAGGATCGCTGCTTTATTTATTATTCCCTTTAACACTTTTAGACAACAACAAAGATCCCATCAAGTCTTTACAGTCCTACGCCAAAACTTCCTGTCCACCGTTTCCTTCAGAAAAATATAAATGCTTCTCCTTCCTTTCTTTCGTTCTGTTTCATATCCCTCTCTTCTCTCCCCTGATCCATAGCAGAAAGTCCAGCCAAGACTGGGCCCTTCATTAAAACAGACCGATGAATCGGTGACACAACCACCATGGGCTAAACAGTGAAAAAGGCTTTAATAGACCCAGGCACGAGTTGAAAAGCAATTAACTTCCTTTTCATTACTTCCACTTCAAATACTTTCTAATCCCATAGATAAAAACTAAATCAACACAAGCCTTTTTTTTTTCCTAAGATCTAATCACACAAATCAGCCAAAAGTACACGTGTCTGTTTAGCATATCTGATCTCAAGCAAATGTTTCAGCTTTTCTTGCAGGCAATGGCTTTTTAATCCCGCTCCTCTTTCGCTTTGTTGGTAAAGTTTACACTGCGAGATGTGAGATTAATCCCTGTCGGGCACGTTTTGCAACACTGTGCCCTTTCTTGGAAATGTTCAGTCACTGTGCCACTTCCTCTGCAGCTGTTCACCGGTTCTGCAGATCGTTCCTCACTCCGTTTCTCAGAGAGTTCACTGGGGCTATAGGTGACCTACTTTACCCTCAACTGTAAATAGCTCCTGGAATAATGACTGAGTCCCTTGGCTGATTCAAGACAGCAACAGTTCATAACTTCTCTAAGGAAATGCAACACTGAGGTATGTCACAGAGAACGTCACCGTGGAATTGAACAAAACAAAAGACGTCCCTGCGGAGCTGGCATTGAAACTCTGAGGATCCGTCCTGCTGCATTTATCATCTTATTCACTATTGCAGTAGGTCTAAAAAGTTTACACATCCCTGTTAAAACGTCAGTTTTCTGTGATGTACATAAAGGCCGATTATCTCAGGAACCTTTTAACCTGTAATCAGAGCCATAAAACCTAAAATCTTTTTGGTGGAATAATATTAAGAATGTGGTTGCACAGAATGTCATTTATATGGTAACACTTTATTTGAAGGGGGGTGAATAAGACTGCAGAATGAACAACCAGATTCAAATCCAGGTTAAAAAAAAAAAGGTTTCAGCACATGCCCTAACTTTTAAAGTGCCTGTGATTAACCCAGTTCATTATATGTTCATTTTCTTTCTGTATTCACATTCGCAGTTTTCTATTCCTTCCCGTCTGTAGTGTCATTGTTCTGTTCTCAAGCAATTTTACCACCTTATGAAAGAGCTCTGCGACTGTGACAGACAGCCTGTGATTAGGTTTCCTGGGGTCTCGACTCTGTTTGGCACTATAAGCTTCAACCTTTCATATCTGAAGCCAAATAAGAATTAACAAATGAAGGAGTTTAATGAAGAAATACAGAGAAAACAGGCGGAAAAAAGACATTTAAAACAAAGACTGGAGGTAGGCTTTAAATTAGTTCACTTCTTTAATTTGTATGCTGATGTACTTGATAACAACCCGGATGTTTTTCCTCGTTTATGTATTGAATTATAGGTATAGATGATCACAAAATGATCAAACCTTACGTGTACTTTCTTTTGTTTGGAGATTGTTTTGTGAAGATTTCATTTTAATTATATAACTTGCATATTAATTCCACTACTAGTCCAGGTGTTCGCTAGTCAGTTCTTCAAAAAGCAGATTTTAAACCTCGACCAAACTGAAATATATAGAAGAGACAGGTAGATAGATAAGACAACCACATTTCATTTTATGAAAACCAGTAGCAAACTGCTACTTTTCATACCCAACACATCCTGAACAAAAATTACTTAGTCAAATTATTCAAGGGAAAAATGTTATTCATGTGCCCAAGATAATAAACAAACCATTTCACTACAATCTAAAATAAATATTTCCTTTTGTCTAAGTTTACTTTAAATTTAAAAGCCTACAGTAAATTCCTAAAATAAAATGATTTTTACAACTTCAAAGTTTTTAGTTAAATAATGCAGCACAGTGCTAATTGTCTCCAATCTCCATACAGATACAGCAAAACTCTGCAGGGTTACGAAGCACAGAGTTTCAAGGTTATGTGGTATTAAATTGACCAATAATTTCAATAATTTATTGACGTGTCACCGGTCTAATCAGAGACATAACGGCTGTATCGGCTGTGACCTTTAAGCTCCAGACGTGTCAGTAGAGGGAAAAAATACAAAAGCCGATTGTAGCCTTTGAAGCCTGAAAAACCACTTAATCCTTATTGACGATGTTTATGCTTCTTTTTGAAAAATCTTTAAGAAGCTCACACACTCATTAATTCACAAACACGTCTTGATCTGTTTGTTTCCTTTCAGATAGTTTTTAAGTTATTGATGTTTTATATTCCACCGTTTTATTTCTGAAAGCATATTGACATTAGGATATGAAATCCGATCTACTGAATGTAATAAGAAGCTAAATCTGCCTATCAGGGAGACAAAGATTATGATTCTTACTGGAGCCATTGAACACAAATTTCAGTATAATAAGGATAAGAAAACCTGTCATTCTAAAGTGCTTTTTTATAGACCTCATATTATAGTTTAGTGTTTTTTTCCATCCCCTCTGAGTTGCAGGGTAGCTTCCTGCAGAAACATTTTTTCAGTCTAAACCATGTAACAGATTACAAATGTTAATTGTTTTTTCACTTATACAGCAACATTGATATGGATCATATGCTATTTGTTTATTTCATGTATGCTACACATACAGATATATACGAATGCCTTCAAATATTAATGTAGACTTTTAATGTTAAATTATCTTTACTGCAATCTCCAAAAAAGTACATTTTGGAGATTTAAGTTACCTGGTATGTTCTCTTGTCTTTCCTATTTAGAGAGTGACTAATAGAAATAGGCTTCATGTCGTACTAAGCTCTCAGGAAAGCAAAAAAATAAAGAAAAACTGTGGATTACTAAAGAAAAGTATCTTAAAAGTCTAATCAATAATTATAAAGTAAAACATGTTTCTGCTACTTTTAATTCATAGGAATTGCCAGTAGTTAAGTTTTCTGTAAATAAAAAAAATCCATAAGTGGGTTCTTTAATTAATTCATTTATTGCATGCTGTAATACATAAAGTAAATGTTGATCTATAAATTAATAGATATCAAACCTATATCCAGAAAAAATCAGTGCAGTGTAAGATAAACATTGCCCATTTGTTCTGTTATTTGCATTTTTATTTTGGTCATACAATTATTTCTAACGTTTTTGCACATTTTCTTCTCACATTTGCTCATCTCTACTCTCACCACAGTTTGTTTCTGTTTTTCCATTTTATTTATACTTTGAGGAATCAAGTTCCAGGATGAAATGCTTGTTACATCAACAGCGGCTGTAGGAGCTCATAAACGCTCCCTAGTCTCACCTTAACCACACGCAGCAACCTGTAATGTTAACATAGCAGGAGCGACGATTCTGCTGCAGCAATATTTATCTTTCAGTCAAATTGTTCCAGACACAAACTCACCAAGCCAGAGAACATCACTTAAGTACAACTAAAGAGGAGGAGGTAAAATAGCAAAACATTGAACAGAAAGACAATAAAATAAAAAAGCAAATGGGAAGAAAAGAAACAGAAAAGAACATTATGAAGAAAAAGTAGAGGATAGAAATAAATATTTATCCATTTATACCTACTCAAATGACACACAAAGAAATATATCTTCTTCTGTTTGATTTTAACCCTTACAATTACTGTAATTTGTTCAGCTGTAGCTCTACTGTTTACATGATGGACCTCTGTTTGCTTTGTTATAAAAGCGGTTTTTGCTCCATGCTTACCTAGCGGCATGCCGATGCCGTAGCCCTTGGTGTCCAGCAGTCCTCCTATCTGTGTGAGGTTGCAGTTGAGGCCGCGGTGATACTCGTTCATGGTGCTCTCCATCAGGAAGGCGTACTTGGAGTTGAGAACACGGGCGATGCCCTCCTCTGTGCTTTTCACAAAAACGCTGGGCAGTTTGGAGTTCATGTAGTTCCACATCCGCTGGTACGTCTGGTACCGAGAGTTCTGCACAGAAATGGGACAACGGCAGTGGGAAGAATTATCTAAAATATCAATTAAAATGTCTATGAATGCAAAAAGGATGAACATAAAATAAGATATATGCATCCTGGAGAAAAATGGAAAAGTAAGAATATTCAATAATGTTAACCTGAATAAAATATATAAGGCAAGCAAGAAAAAAGGAGGAAATATAAGGAACATTTTGGTTCTAGCTCAGTTGGATGACACCACAAATCGAAACAGAAACACATGTTTTCAGCTGGTTTGTTGTCTGCAACACCCAGACATTTTGCTTCGATAGTAGCATGTCAGCAAATAAACGCAAACACACGCTCTAAAGGTGTGTTTTTCCCTTCAGTGGAGTCTGAAAACAACAATGTATGTGGAGAATAAAAGGGTTCACACACCGTCTGAATTCAGCCATCAAGACAAATGCAAATAAAACAAACCCTAGACAAGTCAATCAGAGGAAACAGGGGTAAATACTGGATTGGATTTCACTCGGAGGGTTCTGAGAAAACACAACTTAGCCGTGGTTCTGTTGCACTGCTGAATTATAACCAATCACATCACTTGTTCAGCAGCTGTGCTGCTTTTACACTGCGTGGCTCTGTTGCTAAAATTGCCATCTGGTGGGTTTACCATGAAACAAAGATTATTCTGATAGTATTTTTAAGCCATTTTAAATGTTAGGTCAATAAACCTGACATCTCGGCTGCAACTGTTTACTGGAGGTTAAAGCTGTGGGCGACTCCAGCGATAAAACAACCTTGCAAAAGTTTCACACTACTATGCAGTTATGAATGCCATTGCTTTCACTGTGATGGTTCATCGCAATGCAATTATAAAGCCCAGACATTCATTTTAGTGCTTTATCGTGATAAACGATATAAACATAGCATTACCCTTGCAGTGAGTTATTTCCTGTTATGCTGTTAATAAGACTTGGAAACAGAAGCAACAACTATTATGGTCTGTCTTGCCTCACTGATGAAGCTCCATTTAGGCACCTCAGTGTTGACTGGGGTGAGAATGCAAATTAGAAATTTTCTTGGGAAAAAGTTTGATTTGTTTTGTGTTCATCTAGTAAAAAGTCTTGGAGTTTTGCAACTTTTGAAAAGCTTTCATGACAAACTTCAACTTAACACTACGATAAAGAAAATTGGAAAGTATTAATTCCCTATCTGCTTTTGAACATGTCATATAAGAACTGGAAGCTTCACTGTACTTCATTAAGAATCTGTCAAACATAAAGAAGTGCAGAGCTATAAAGTGATGCACAGTTTTGAAAATAGTTTAGAAATAAGATATGAGTTGGATGAATTGTAGAGAAGTTTAATGCAAGCTTTGGGATATTGGAGCATTTTGGTTTTACTGTCATATTGTTCGCTTGTCGTCAGTACGGACGACTCTACAGTAGAGTTTTCATTTGTAAAATATCTGTTCTTTTCTGCATGACTACGTGGCTTAATGTGGGCTCAAAAAGGAAAATGAGCTTACACAAATGACAGGCACTTTGTGTGCGTTTATTTTCTGGTTTAAAACATAATTGAAGCCATCTAAAAATAAAAATGGTATCACATCACTGCAGACCTGTGAAGATCTGGCCATCAAACTAAACTGAAAAGTCTGGTAAGGAGGGGAGACAAGTGCTTTAGTTTTATCTTGAAGAAGTGTAGATGTTCGCCCAGAATTGTCCTTTACGGAGGCTTGATAAGATTAAATTGTTGGAAAAAATAAAAATAAAAAAATCACAAAATATCAACCCATAAGCCATTTCAGTCTCTGGATGTAAGACTTAAAGTATGTTTGCAATCAAGCACTAATCCACGATGGTTTACCATCTAAAAGTTGCAATTATTAAAATTTTTTAGCATTTTGTGTTTTTTATGGCAGATAGTTTATGTTTACAGTATGTATTTTAAACTGAACATGTGAGAAAACAGGAAGAGAGTGGAGAAGGTAATAATGCGTGTAGGCTTTGTATGTTTCTGTGGATCAGGCACCGAGTGCGGTAATGGGGCGTAACAATGAAACCGGCTTATGAAGACAAACACAAAACACTCCATTCCATCTATAGTCAGGACAGAAAGGGAAAAACAAACACCACTTGTCATGTAGTCACTTCCTTTAAATGCACATAAATATATTTTTTAAACTCTCACCTGCACACGTTCCCAAAGGCTAACAAACCAACATCAGAGAGAGAGAAAAACACACACACACACACACACACACACACACACACACATCACGACAAGCACAGATGTCAACTCAGATGCCTGGAGCGCTCTCATAAAACAAACACAGGCAGTCACCCACCTAATACAAGCCGCCATAAAGAAGAGCACACACAAACTCAGAGGAAATGTCACAACAAACATTCAGCCTACTAGCAGGATACAAGCTACATACAAACACTTTAGAAAACGCAATAAAGCAACACCATGAATCTGTAAAATCCACTAAAAACAAAAAGAAAAGAAAAACATGATCATGCATATGAACTCGCGGTATGCAACTTTATTTCAAGTTTAGTAAAAACTCAAAAACAGTTTGTAAAAGAAAGCTCTGAAGCATAAAATAATCATAAGACCATAATTCCTCTTCTCTGCTGGATTCAAAACTACAGCATCCATTCTGTTGTACATTTTCATTTGTCATTGTCACATTATAACAAAATTTGCACAAATTACTCTGCATTTTAATCCTTGGAAAGAAAAAAAAACAAATCTGTAAATCAGACCTTGAAGAAATCAAACCTATTCTGTGCATCTCTAATACAAACATACTACAAACTAGCAGCAGAAGGACGGTTTTTACCATGAAGAAAGTCATGGTGCTTCCTCCATGAATGGTGCCGTACTCGATGTTGGTCTGGTCAGCCAAATCATCTGGAGACTCGATGGGAACCTCCATCCTCTGAACGGTCAGGAAGGCTGCCAAGTTGGCCGTGTAGGAGGAGATGATGATGAGCGTGAACGCCCACCTTGAAGGGGACGAAAACCAGGAGAGATCAGGTTACTGCAGGTCTTCTCTCATCTGATCTACATACATACAGGAGAAAATCAGATTGTTGAGCTGGGAAATTACCTTTTCTTGGCAAGGGCCTTTTTCTGGTATTGCAAGGATTTGAAAAGTTTTTTTTTTAAAACCACTTACATTTTCTGTGCTGTAGTTTCTATTGTTTAAAACACAAAGTTTCAGCACAGGCAGCGTTTTCTCCCCCCTCACTCATGCTTTTGTGCACCCTTCCAGCCACACAGACAGATTTCCTTTGCATATGAGTAAGACAATGACAGCTGTTTGGAAAGTCATTGCACTGAATATAAAACAGCACCACCCATCACTCTCATTAAGGTAACCCTGTTTTGAAAGTACAGCTCCAAAGCCAAGAGTGCCATTTCTGCAGGCGTCAGCACCTGAGCATATGGCTCCGCTAATATTATCTTCCTAGCCTTTTACTATACAAAAACTAAATTATTTAAATAAAAAAAAAAGAAAAAGCATTCTTCATTTACTTTAAAAACTGGAATTAGTTAAAGTTACACCAACTTTTTGTTTCTTGGTTTTGTTTGCAAAACAATACTCTCATTTATTGGTCAGCATGCATAGAACAAAAACATGGAGTTGAAGTCCCCACACTCAAATTAGTGATTTATGGTGTGCATGAATACAGAATGTATGTGTAAGTGTTGCATTGTGCTAGAAAAATTACACTTAAACCTGAGGAGGTTGAACCAGCACCTGATGGCTTGCTGATCCAGTGAACCTGCTTTTATTGTGGAATAACTTTTATGAGTAAATCTTCGGTGACATTACACAGAACTTTATGAAGTCACATATTGATATTCATCTTCACTTACACTATGTGTGTTATAATGATTAAGCTCATAAAGAGTTTTGTAAGCATCAGTTTTTCAGCAGCTGAACTCTGCCTGCCCGTCGGTTCCAGTTCCAGTAACTCTGACTTCTTCAGCATACCCAGAAACTTCAGACAACTTCAACCTCAAAAACCTTCTGGGAACAGTTTAGGGATCTATTGTTCCTGTTCCAACATGGCTGAGAATCACTACAAAAAGACAGTCAGGCATTCATACAGAGCAAAAGGGTCTGACCTCAGAAAGGCTTTCTATATTCAGAAATCCTGATAAATACATTCTTGAATTTTGTGGAAAATTTCCCAGAAAAGTCGTAGATGTTGTTGCTGCAAAGGATGAGCCAATAATGTCATTATAACATTTGCATTAAGAATGGGATATCACTAAAGTTCATATGTGTATGGAGGTAGATTTTTGGCATTAAGATACACACATGATGACACATGACATCTCCTGGATTAATGCTTTTTTTTTTCCACACTATAAAAACGCTTACAAATTAAAACTTTGAAATGTTATATTTCTTCACAATATCGTCAGTAAAAAAATAAAAATAAATTTTGCTTTAATTCACTCTCAAATCTTAGAAACATTGTAAAAACAGTAGTTAAATATTTGAGATGTTTTAACAGTTATAACCTTGTAGAAACTGGACGTCCTTGCTTACCTAGCAGCTTATTTCAAAAGGAACATCACGTTCCAGACACGTTTTTAATTTTCCCCCTCACTCAACTGAGTGATCTGCTGTTCCTGTCCTTTTCCTCCGTCTCCTCTGCTCGCAGCGCTTACTTCTTTCTCAGCACATGTCTTTCAGAGCTCCCTCGGGAGCATCATCAAACTTGAATTTTTTGTTGGCTTTGCATTTGTACATTATTTGCATAAAATATTGACACTCAGGAATAAGAAACTTTTGTGTCAGCTATTTACCCCAAATCCCAAGACTGCATTTAATATCTAAATATTCTGGCAGAAATGCAACAAAATAACTGCTTACAAGATACAAGTCATTGTTAAGTGTCTTCCCACATCTTTGAACACAAAAAGCCTTTTCAATTTGTGGTAAGACGACTAAAAGAGAAATAAACACAGCTGGCCTCTAGAGAAGCTCTCAGAATCACAAAGTGGTTAAATCTTCTTATTCTCTCTCATACATTAGCTTCCACATTCAGTCACATCACAAACTCTGCATGTCCTTAAACTCGTTCTCAAGATGTGCGCAGGTAAAAACTAAAAGCAGCCTTTCCGCCCAAATGTCTTTTTACAACATCAAGGTCAAACATCGAAACAAGGAGACCATATAAAACCCATCTCTAAGACGACGGGGAGGCGTTAAGCTGCAGAGGCACAGAAACAGCCTCACTCCTCTCTAACTCACCACACACCGCTGACACATCTGGTGGACAAGGCTCTGGGCATTATCTCTGATCCCTGCTGCATGAAGCCGCCGATGGGGAACCACAGGCTGTTTCCCAGTGTGTACTGGTTCTCCAGTATGTCCCTGCGCTCCCGCAGACACGGTTGAGGGTTGTACCACTCGTAGGGGCTCAACCTGGCGAGAGAGGGGGAGTCCGTTGAAGCAACCTTCAGCTGTTGCACGGTGATGCACCTCTGTCGTTTAAACAAGCCAATCAGTCATACAACCCCTGTCAAGCCGTGTGAGGGGACATGTCCAGGGGAAAGATGATAGATGACAGGTGGCTTGTGTTTAGCAATATAAATGGCAAGAGAGCTCAGATGTGAGCTGCAGACAATCAGCGCAGTGTGTGATGTAATGGACTGACCTTGCTGCCAGGAAGAGCACGCAGCTGACAGCCAGGTAGGCGAGTAACATGAAGAGCCAGACAGCTGGAGAGAAAGGATCCAGGAAGGAGAAGTAGCCTGGCTTCCGACCCTGAAACAAGGTGGAGAAAGAAGAAGTAAAGACGCAGATAGATGAGAAATCTGGGACAGATGGGGACAGACAGAAGCTGCTATCAAAGGTGTCCCCTTCGCACCACAGGAGGGCAGTGTACTCCCCCTCACTTTAATACAGAGTCTGCAGTGCTTTGATACTCTAATGCTTCGATCCATGAATGCTGTTTAACAATGCTGTCTGCCAGAGCGCGCCTGGCGCAGGCCCAAAACCTCATTAGCAATGTAAAGCTGCCACTGTAACACAGCTCTGACTTACTGAGCAAAAATAAATTCTCACTATAAACTGCATTGAGGACTTACACTAATACAATCAAAGGGATCAACTCTCGAGCAATAAGCGGTTTCGCTCGTTTCAAGCGACTTCGGCCTGGCGTCTTCTTCATCAATGGGAGGACTTAAAAACATATCAAATCCAGTACAGGATCTGAAGTAAGTATCAGCCAGCAGGTGGCCGACAGCCCGAGATAACACCCTCACCAATTGAACTCGGTACAAGATGCTGATCCCCAGGGTCATGAAAGGCTTAGAGAAGTCGATAACTTTCTCCCTCTCTGATGTGATGGTGAAGCCTGCCACGGCCAGGTCCGCTTTCTGGAGGATTGACACAGATAGATGGGTGGGTAGATAGCAGCAGGGGTGAGCGGGAGATAGACGCGGCAAAGGACAAGAGAAAAAGTACAGAAAGTGGTCAGCAAAAAAAAAAAAAAAGAAAGAAAGACACAGTAACATGTTGATACCAGTTTCTTGCTTTTTATAGTTTTACACATACTCCACTGTAACTGATTTGGATTTTAAATAAACAATTATGATGTGGAAGGAAAATGATTCTGTTCCTTACTTAATATTAAATTACAACATTTTAAGATAATACCTCATTGGCAGTGTTGCACCGAAATAAAATGTGACCCAGTGAATCACTTTCAGAAGAGTCCACATGTGCATAATCTGATCTATTTTTAAACCCAGCTGTTCAGAGAAAACAGTTCAACAGAGCAAACATAGAAGAGGGCACTTTGGTATAAAATTGAACTTTCCGACCTTCGTGTAAAAGAAATATGTGGGGGAAAAATGCAGGGTGGAAAACTAACACTATTTTTGTGCTTGTAGAAATTGCTTCTGCTCTGAAATATGGTGTTGGCAGCATCATGTTGGGGGGAGAGTTCTTTTCAAAAGTGACAGATAAGCTTGTAAGAGTTTATGGGAGTTTATGTTGAAGCAAAATAAAGAGTAATCCTGGAGCCAAACCTGCTACAGGCTGAAAAAAAAACGTGACGACTGGGATGGAGGTTGAGCTTCAAACAGGAAAACAAACCCGAACATTCAGCAAGAGCTAAAATGGAAAGGTTCAAAAATAAAAAAATAAAAAAATCGCAACTTTGTGGTATTGAAGTTCAGAGATGCTTTCAACCAAACAGGATCTATTTTGGAAAGAAGCTGAGAAAAATCATTGGTGAAAACAAAGGCAGCACAATTTTTTGGCTGCTATTTGTTACATTTCTTGTCTTTCATCATTTTCTGTTCTTGCACTTGGTTGCAGTTTTGTGGATGTAAAGGTTTATAGTGTACAGAATGTCCCTCAGTGGGAAAATTCAGGTGCAAAAGTTTGAATACTTCTGCAAGGCACCACACTGAGCGGATGTTAAAAGTTCACTGTGCCACCTTTCATGAAATATGCAGACGTGCTATTTTCTCTTGCACACGCTCGTACTATTTCTCCATGATCCAAATTAAGCTAATTGAAAGTAAACACTAGGTCCCTGGTCTTTCCACCTGCATAAAACCTGCAGGTCTCTGGTCGTTCTGCCTCCCCTTCATCTCTTCCATTAAAAGCTAATTGATGAACACGGGCTACTAATTACAGCCGAGTGATCGGGCTACGAGGAGGGCGGGGAGGGTGAGGAAGCATGGAGAGCCGGGGGAGCGCCGCTGTGGCAGACCCCACACAGGGACCATGGCTCGGTAATTGAAGTATACCGTATGGTAATTAAACAGAGAGGGGCTCTCATTAGCCTGCTTCAACCAGAGTGTCAGTCACAGGCTCAAAAGGCCTGGACAGGTTGAGTGGAAAAAACATTTTTATATTTGTATATATGCAAAAGAAAGTGGTTAGAAGTGGTTTTCAGCTTGGAAACGCAGAGCGGGCAATATTTAGCAAATTTTTCAGTCTCTTCTGGGGAATTATCAATTCAGCCTTTGTCCTAGATAAGAGTGTTACTCCCCTCTGAGGGCAATTTGAGACATGGGGAGTTACAGCAGAACTGTGGTTTGGGGCTACAGCACAAGTGTGTGCACAAGTATGTGGCTGTGTGGATGAATCGCTGTGTGTTAGTGGCACATTTTCTGGTTGTTATTGCTGCACGCGCTCTGCAGAGTACTCACCCTGTTGATCAGCTCTCCAACCATGCCGGTCCAAGAGCCGTTGGGCTCCGGGGCCCCATACAGCCCATCATCCACCAGCTTGATCTTGAAGGAGAATTTTAAGATGCCTGCCAGCTCCCTCAGCATGTCAACACAGAAACCCTCGTACTGCTCGTTTCCCTCGAAATCCTGGTAATTGTCCTTGCGCATCACATACGGGTTCTCCTGTGCAGAGGGAAAACATGACGAATCTCAGTCTAAAACAGGCAGCGTGTTTAGCTGTAGAAGATGCTACCTTATCACTATTGATTTATTGTAGGGATTTTCAAACAGCTAATTAAGGTTTAAATAACAAGGCTGTTCAAAGTTTTTCTCATTAACTTGTTTAGCATATGGAGGAGCGTAGTTTTTGTGCTCTGCTTTTTTGCTTCAAATTAACTGGAGAGATGCAATTGGTGTCAAAGGTTTGAGCCAATTCTTTGCAACAAAATTAATGAGCTAATAAAAATGTATTTAGTCCCCGATATTTTTTTAGCGTTTTTTTCCTTTTTTGTCAAACTTAAATTTTAGAAGATTACACAGTTTTTAATATCAAAGACAACTTAACACAAAAATCAAACTTCAAATGATCTTTTAATAAGAGTAAAATCTAGCAAAGTCAACCCCCAAAATACTAACATGTCATGATGTGTTGTTTTAAAGTGGAGCCAAATGCAGAGGCAGATGGAGCTTGTAGATGAAAAATGTTTAAAGAAAAAAAAAAGAAAAAAACTTACAAAAACACACAGGGAGCCAGAGCCAAACAAAAACAGAAATCCAGAACGAAAAGCCAACATTATGAAACAGGGAAGTAATCAGAGTTAACAGGAGGAATCGGCAAAGACTGGGAGGAGCAGAAGTGCTTAAGTACTGGGAGAGTGAATGTGGAACAATGGGGCTGATGGGCAAACTGGTTGAAGACGTGAGAAGAGAGAGAAAGTGGTTCATGAGGCGAGAGAGAGAGAGAGAGAGAGAGAGAGAGAGAGAGAAACTGCAAAGGGGACTGGGAAATAATCTAAAGAATGAGTAGACATAACATAATAATAAAACTGGAGTAACTTGGAACAACTTGACACAAGAGATAAACTAGAATCACTAAGAAAGAAGTTTGAACTTAAAAACAGAAACTAAACTGATCTAATGAAAATAAGAAACTAAAGATTAGAGAAATAAACCAAAAACAACTCAAGGTACCAACATAATAACTAGTTAGTGGCAATCACTGCCATCAACCTTTTATAATAACTGAGAATGAGTCTTTACATCACATTTTGGTTGTTTTAAATTCAGCTGCACTATAAGGTTTTCAAGTTGAACCAGCAGTTTAAGGATGTGCTATAATATCCAGACTTTGTTTTGGCTCATTAAAACCTTTTTGTTTTGTTTGTTTTTTACATTAGGAGAGCAGAAATGAGAACACTGTCCAGTTCCAGACTAACACACCGTCACCCTCATGGCCGATGCTTTTTGTCTGAATTGCTGTGTTTATACCAAATGCAGTGTGATGCACATCTTTCCAAAAGTTCCACTTTTGTTTTAGTCCATAGAATATTAATCAATATGTTTTCTGGTAAATGTGAAGCTGACCTTTTTCCAAACTCTTTTCATAGATGCCATTTTTGCAGAGTCTCTTCTTAATGCTGAATCATAACCACAGACTGAGTAATTTTGTTCCATGTTTTTTTTTTTCTTTCTATTTGTGGGTAATGGTCTCTATGGTTCACAAAGCCTAAGAAAATGCACTGTAACTCTCTCCAGCATGACAGATCTCAATGGTTTTGTTTCTCATCTATTCTTGAATTTCTTTCTATAAAGGCATAAAGTTTTGCTTTTTGAAATCTTTTAGTTACTTCATACTTCATGTTGTGAGACAGGTAAATGATTTCTAATTTACCAAGGAGCCGGTTTACTTAGGACCAGAGTGGTTTGGATAACCTTTTCTCTACATAAGTGAAATCATCACCTACTCATCATCTAGGGCTAACCTTGTCTTAAATTAAAAAATCTGGTTGATGATCTCAAACGTTTAAGTGTGACAAAAAGGTAAAAACTGAATAAACACAAAAAGGGGGAAATCCTTTCACAAGACTGAACATTTTCAAGTCTCTACTGTAAATCTATTAACAGTTACCAGTCATTTTTAAAGATCTGGCAGAAGAAGAAAAAGTATCTCTAAATGTGTCAAGGGATTTTTCTAAAACGTTTTTTCCAAAGTTTGACCTCTGATGGGTAAAGGTCAGCACGCCTCAGCCGAGTCGGTACACTGTAGAACATTTTTATCTGCCCTGTGAGTCTCTTACAGCTACAGAACGCTAATAGAAAATTGCTTCAATAGACATAATTCGCTAGTGGGAGATGGCTGCAGATGCAGGTTTGTGTGGGACTTTGACAGATTAAAAAACTACAGTCTGCCCGGTGAGTAAAACCGATGCAGATAAACCAGGGTAGCAGCAAGGCTATCATAGAAAGTACCTGATTTATCTCAAAAGTGGTGCAGCAGAGAAATAAATGCATTAAGTTTCACAAGAAAAATGACGTTTCAGAAACTCTGGCAATAGAAACTGAATCAGAAATGTGTTGATTGATAAAAAAAAAAAAGTCTACCACTAAACAAATCACTTAGTCACATAGCCAGCATTTAGCTTAAATTTACTGCAACAGACAAGTGTAAAATATCACAAATTGTAGCATTGTACTGTAGGAGAATGACTAATAATTCTCAAATTTTAACAATAAACATTTTAGATTTTTTTTTCCTATCCACTTTATGCTAGTAACCTTAAGATAGATAGACAAAATGAAATAAATAGGATGATCTGACATCTAAACAGTGTGTGGGATGGACTCAGTGGCTACAGTGCAGAAGGGTGTAATTTGTGTAAATTTACAAAATTCAGTGTAAATTCAAGGATTTAATTGTAGGTAAAATGCCTGAATTAATAGAAAGCGCTGTTTTTCTTCAGTTCTGAATGCCGGTGGCTTCTGGACAGAAACGGTTCTTGAATCGGCTGGTAGGTGTGCAGGTGCTTCTGCCTAATGGCTGGATGATCTTCAGTGAATTCTTGCTCCAGTGCAGTTTGTAGCGCTCCTGTGTGGCTCATGCTGCTGTTTTGGTAACTCTGTAATCATCTACAAACCTCGGCAGAGCTTTTCAGAACAGAGCATTACAGCTGCTGTAACAGGCTGTGAAACAGCATGTCAAAAATATTCTCAGTGGTGCATTGAGAGAAGCTGGTTAGTGAGTCCAACCTAAACTACTCGGTTGTGGCAGAAACAAGCCCTCTGCCTTGCTGATTTCTGATTAGGTCATCTTTGATCCTCACTCATATTGATCTAAAAATCCTCAGGCAAGCTCTTCTCCAACAGCCCCCTTTAGCTTTCCAGAGATTTTTGAACTTCAGTAAGCTGTTGTCCTGAAACTAAGATCATCGGCTTCTTATTTCTTCAGCGATAAATTATTCGTCAGTATCTGATGTGCAAAAAAATGATAATGGTTCCATTTGCAAATATGTATAATATTGGAGTTAAGGTTAAATTTGGCTGGTCATTCATGGGTGAAAAAGATTGGACCTAACACACCTCTCTGAAGGATACCTTCTCCTAGTGAGAAAAAGTATCTTGCCAGAAAACGAACAAGCATAAATCCCCTTAATCTAAGATATTTAATATTACTTAGATTTCAGTTTTTGCAGTGTTCAAACATATTTCCTTGATTTATTGGCGAGGGAGGGAAGAGCACAGTGCAGAAGCTATTGCTTCATCTCTGGAAACGGTTTGGCCTACATGCAAAACGCAGCAGGTCAGCTGCAGCAGCCGGGGAGGATGTGAGGGCTTCGACTACGTGCTCCAAGCACTTCATGGTAACGTGGGTAAGTGCAACACGGCAGCTACTCCAGGTGTTTTGGGGACAGGGATGACACCGGTCTCATCACAGGGCACTTTCCGTCCATATTCCTGACAGTTGAGTTGCTTTACCTTAACCAAGATCCATTTTCTCTCTGTATTGCTTCTTTGATTTTATTCCTATTTTTTTAAACAAAGACCCAAAAGAGCAACGTCACACAACACATTTATTTTGATTTTAGTTTAATCCCTTAAAACAGTGAATACAAGGTATTTATTGTGAGAAGGAAGATGATGGATCAGCAAAGACATTACTGTTTTTAAGATGTCATTAAACATCTAAACAGCCAAAGGACAGCAGGACATTAATAAAAGACCAGCACTCTGACAGCCTCATTTAAGTAACACGTCCTTCTCAGCGCTCTGTCAGTTTCTATGACAGCTACAGCTATGGCTAAATTGCCAGAAAGAGACCAAAACGCAGCGTGAGCTCCAGCACAGCAGGCAAGCACAAAAACAACTCTACTTGCCAGTGTGGACACTTGTGAGGTAGCTAGCTGTGACCTTACCAGGATGGTGGTGACAATCAAGGTCTTGTTCGCCAGCGTCTCTGAGACATTAATATCCAAACTGGTGGAGTTCATTGCCAAAGTGTTGTTGGAGTACCAGATCCCAATCTAACACAGAACACAAAACAAGAGAAAATCAATAACCATTGTGGAATAAATGATGCACTCTTAAGCTCTAATTGAATCAGTTTTTATAGAAATTTAAACTGCAGCACACTACAAGCTCAAGTACATCAGTCAGCACAGCCATCCCAGCGGTCTACTTTAAAACGCAAACTACATTTGCCACTGTATATTCTGTATTTTCTCTTTTCAACCTGTTATGTGCCGTGTATCTATATTGATATAATAGTTCCCACAGGAGCCAAAAGAAATGCAGTAATATGAGCCATTATAAACCAATTGCTATTTACAAGCAAAGCAATGAGCTGGTGACAGGCTGGCATTGATGGGAATGAAAAGCATCCATGATTAGCTGTTTTATAGCCACGTCTCTTTTTTTTATTCACACCTTTGTTGAATTGCATAACAGCGCATTTATTTCTATTTTATGGAGACAGTAAAGTCACTTAGGTGCATAAGTGTGTGATTATGACCTAACCAACGTGCCGAGTGGATCAGCGGCTCACGGAGGCATTTCCTAGAAATATACCGCACACGTGTCAGTGGATCAGAGGAGTGGTAATGGCTCCGCTGCACCGTTTCTATTACAGTTTTTATCCTGCTCTGACGCTTGAAAGCATTTTTTTTTTTTTTTTTTTTTTATTCTGAACCGCTGCTGGCGTCTAAAGTGGATGTCACCATACACACAGGTGGGCAAAGTTAAAATGTTAATTACTACAGCCACGCTCTCGGCTGAGTTGGAGTTTAGCTTTAAGTGAGAAAATGGCTTTTTGTGTAAGTGTTGGAGACACCTGGCTGATAGCAGAGATCTGGGAGACAAACTGAGGAGAAGGACGGAGGAAGCGTTCCCTCCAGACAAGCAGCTTTCCCTGCAATCACTTAAACTTAGCTTTTTAATGCTTAATCTCTCTTCACTTATTCCTAATACTTTTCTAAGGAGGCCATCAGAAAATTATAATGACTTTTGACGAGACTCCCAGGATGTTATTTGGTTATGGGATTAGCCAGCCAGCACAATTTATACAAATAAATAAAAACGGGAATGAAACTGCTTGACTTGGATTGCTTTTTCTTGCAGATAATGAAAGAAATTTTTAGGACTTTACCAGTTTTTTTGTGTTGTATTTTACAATGTTGTGCTCTGACTGATGTAGTGCCTTGAAGTTTTTCATCTTTTGTAGCTTTAGAATTATAGAACAGTTATAAATGCATTAAAGGTAGTGCAGTTATATTATAGAAGAAAAACTTTAAAGTGTGATTTGAATTTGTCTTCAACACCTTTTTCTCCAATACTCCAAATAAAATGTTGTGCAACCAATTGCCTTCATATTGTATATTCTAATTAGCAACTACAAAAACAAACATGAATGTTTAATAGTTCGAACATGTGCAGCTCTGCCTTTGGTTTATAGCCAGTAATAACATACAAAACATACACAAAAGCTGTATTTCTTATTTTAGAAATAAGAAAAATGGCTACAGCAAAACAGGTAAAAATATATGTATCATTTATTAAAACATTAAATGATTTATCATAGCAACAAGAATGTCGTAAGGTTATCATACTCACACTCATGTAGAGCATAAAAACAATGAATACAACAGATTAAAAATACAGTAAGCAGCAGCAGGGTGAGAACTGCAGGTCAGCAGCAACAGAACAGCCGTGCCCCAGTGTGCGTAAATAGAGTTGACCTGTATGTAATTTAATCTCAGTATGTATACAGCTCCTCAGAGATTTACTAGAAAACATTAGTAAACAACCACCATCATGTAGACCAGGGAACCCGGCCTATAGGTCAGGGATAAAGTTGTGGAGAAGTTTAAAGCAACATTAGGTTCCAAAACCCTTTCCCAAGTTTTGAATATTTCACAGAGTGCAGTTCAACCTGTAAGCTCAATGGTTAAGTCTGCTGTGGACTGCAAACCTAACAAAACATGGTTATCCACCTAAACAGACCCAGAAGTAGAGCATTTCTACCAGATTCACCCGTGGTCGTTATTAGAAGAGCAACAGAATGAGCGATATCTGAAAGAAAAGTCCTGATAGCTACGACTGCTGTGTGGCTCAAGTAGAAGAAGGTACTTTAGTCATACGAGACCAGAATTTAACCAGGTTTACATGCGAAACATTGTATGTTGAGGAAGATTCCTCTGAACACTGAGACATGAGCCAGTAGAGCTAAATGAAGATGCATGTCAAAGCTGTACGGTCATTTCCTGCTTTGGTTTGGTCTGCCACATAAAACAGCAGTAAACTCATTAAAACTTTTGGCTGTAATGTAACAAAATGGAAACATTTTCAACACTAATAATTAAATCTTTATTCAGCCTCCATTTGCTTAGTGAAATTCATAATGCGGTTTGTTTAGGACTACACAAAATAAGAAAAATAACTTAATTAAAAATAAATCCCTGTCAAAAGCAGAGTAGTTTTAATCCTGTTGATGCAGCCCATCAATAGTTGTTTATGCACGATTATTTTTTTAAATAAAACTATTTTTGACTCAAAGTCTCGTCTGTTTAATACCAAATCCTCTCTGTGAATGTTACATACTGAGATATAAGAATTTTACATTCAGGACCATCTTAATGATTTTTTTGTTGTTGTTGCTCCAGAAAACAAACCGAGCTCATAGTTCATGTGAAGACAAAGGAGTCCAAAATCAATACAGATCAAGCCTGCTGCAAGCCTCCAGCAAATTCAGTTAAGGTTTCACAAAGACGGCTATTAATTAGATAAAGTGTGAGCGAAGATGTCAAATTATAAGAAGAAATGTTTTGTTTTTCAGAATAATAAGAAACTAATGTATGATTTTTTTATGTATTCATAGTTCAGGACAAGTAACATAAGTAAAAATGCAACATGAGTCAAAGGTGAAACAGAAAGCCAACGGGAGAAATAAATAAATCCAAAGACATATGACCTGGACTGGATTTGCAATAAAAAAAATCTTTCTGAAAGAGAAGCAACAACGTGGAAAGCATCTAAAGGCCAAGCTTTCTATTGTACTAAATATGTGTCTACTGCAGAGTGAAAGGCCTTCTGGTTAAACACACATCTGTTTAATAAAGCAGAGATCTCTGCAGCGTCAGGGGGAATCTGTGATGGCGCTAACCTTCCTGTAAAATGCCTCCGCCGGCTCTCTGAAACCATCCAGGTGACCTGTAACTAACCCAAAGCCCAAGGCTGCTGTGACCTGGCTGCCTCATCATAACAGGTGGCTCCTGACCTCTTTGTGGCCTCCTCTGTGTTTCTCCAGGATCCGCAGGGTGTAGTTGGTTCTCTGACCTTTGCTGTTGAACTCCACTCGCCCCGTCAGGCCATCGTACTCCACCTGGTAGGCAGATGGGGAAGGATATGAGGAAGTACGACGGTGGCAGAGAAGCAAAACAAAAAAAAAAGGAAATTAGGGGGAAAAATGCACAAAAACAGGCAGAGACACAAACAAAATCAGCGCTCTGCATGAAAACAAACGTGCCTCTCACAATCGATCATCATTAGACAGATAAAAACAACACTCTGGAGGAATAGAGAGCCAAAAAACAGAGAACAAGACACACGGGGAGAGAAAGAGAGAGAAAGTGGCTAAATCTGGCCTCGACAGGGATGATCAGTTGTGGATCAACTAGGAGAAAGTGACTGATCGAGAGGCTCAGAGAGGGCAGAAGAGAGAGTCAACAGCCTCTTTAATAAGACCCAGACCTGCACGTCACACCTCGGCTCGGCTCGGCCACTCCACGGCCCAGGTGCTGGCACAGTTTGAAGGAACTATGATGAATAGCAGCGTGCTGGAGATGGAGCGCACCATGATGTTGACTAACAAAGACAGATGTCGGGCAGATGGGCCTCAGGCAATGAGAGATGGGACACAGGCTGCCTTGACAACAGGTCGTTGATGAGGGAAGCAGACGACCAGAGAAGGGAGATGCCAAAAAACATCAACAGACAGAGGTTACGGGCAACATGAGATGCAGATGATACACAGGGTAAACATACGTGCTTTCGTTTATCAATATGCTTAAAGAAAAAGAAAAGATTTAAAGAGCTCGTGACTTTAAAGTATCAGGATTTCTTCCTTTTGCCTTCATTACTCCAACTAGTGTGAAGAGAATCTGTGGTTCATTATGAAGGATTTAAACTACTGTAAATCTTGTTAATAAGTGGTAGATATGTGGATTCCTTTTCTTACTTTTTGTTCTCAAATATGAAATATCTGAATCTCAATCTGATTGAAAAGTAGTCATACCCGTTCGTTAGTTTCAAATGTCTTCAGGTGACAATCACAATCATTAATGCAGTTCATTGGAGAGCAATAAACAAAGCAACATGTTAGTTTCTTCTTTTTTTCCTTTTGTAAAAAAGGAAAATAAGAGGTTGTGCATCTTTTTGCATTTTGCCCCCTTTAACTTGATACTCCTAAATTAAATTACATGCAATAATATTCTTAAGAATCAATTACTGTTAGTCTCTTCCTCCCCAAAACAACAAAATACTAAAGTATACTGCTCCATAAGTTACAAAAAACATAAATATAGACACTTATGTTGTCCTTATTAGTAGAAACTGTTAATTCTAGGATATATTTTTATTTTCTTCTAAGAGAATTATTTCCCTACCTGACTTATCACGTTTCAGCCACACAGTAGAGTAATTACTGGAGCAGTAAACTGAAGATGCCACCTCAGGCTTTGGGAAATTGTAATTGGGTCTTTTGTAATACTTTATTGATCACTTGAAAATGAGCGCCACCTTAATCAATGAAGAAAATAATTGTTAACGGACAAATTACCGTGTGAAAGGAGCCACAGTCAACAGAGTGGCTACATAACATTTTAATAGAAGTATCCATCTCCTAAAAAATTAATAGTAGTAAGTGATTTTATTTCTCAATAAAGCTGACGCCTGAAGACAGATGAGTTAATAAGGCTTTTTTACATGTTAGTTTGTAAATGCAATATTCTAATCAAGTCTTATAAATCCAGAGAGGCAAAAATCAGATTTAACATTTTGTGACCCTTCAAATCTTATCCCAACCTTCAGCCTCAAAAACATCATTTCTCAACCTGACATGCTGAAAAATACAAGAGTTGATGCCGAGAAAAGCAGAAAAAGAATGTAAGAAAATACTATTCAAAGGTAACCGCGTTCTCCGTTTGCAGTGAAATTACTAAATAGGAGCTACAAAAGAAAGCATTATCTAGAAAAGCAGAAAAAGTTTCCGACAGAGCTGCTTGAAGGATTGCCAGGTGGGCAAATCAAAACCTTGTCCATGTAAAAGACTTTCACCAGGACTTAGCTGACATTGAAGTGGCAGTGTGCTGTTCTATTGTGAAGCCACGACTTCACAGAAAAGGCAGAGAAAAAAAACCTAAAGTCAACGTTTCTAGGAATTTCATAACAAATTCAGCTCCATGAGTTTTAAAGGTGCTTGAAATATTTTGGTAACCTTCAGCTGTTAAGGTACACCGGTG